CAGCAGTATGTGCAACCGCTGGAAAACAGGAGGATGTGGGTAGCTGCAGACCTCTGGGGCTAGGACTCCTGAGCCTCCTTAGCCAGGTGATGCTGTGTGGCAGGTCTTACTATTTATTCTCACTTCAGGAAGAAGCCATTGAAGGGTTGTGATCAGAGAGAAGAGAAGGGACCAGTTTTGCTTTCTTGAAAGATCCAGATCTCAGTATGAGAATGCACTGAAGGAAGAACTGGGGATACCAGTTAAGAAGCTGTGACAGTGGCTTAGAGAGATGGTGGCAACGGCAGGTACAGGGGAAGGAGGGGAAGGAGAGAAAGAAGTGGGAAGATTAGAGAGAAAAATGTTAAGACTGGAATTAGATGGCACTTGATGGCCTTGGTGAGAGTCTGGAGGGAGAGGGAGTTACAAGAATAACCCTGGGTTTCTGGCTGGGTCGTGGAGGGCAGAATGGACTAGATTTCAGCAGTAACCCCTCATTATTCCATTTGGTCCTCTGTGTTGCCCAGGTCCTGAGCTGAGCTCTGGGCTGCTGGCAACAGAGGGAACCCTGATATGTAGTTGGGATGCCCATGACTGTGGAGCAAGCGATTGGAAAGTGGTGCTGCAAAGAGGTGCAAACAAACTTATCCAGAGGGATTCGTACGTCCTTCTGAGAAGGTGGGGTCCAGGCTGAGGCTTCAAGAACAGGTTCTTCAGTAAGAAAGACCAGGTAGAAGAGGGTGACCCAAGCAGCAGAAAAACACACATACCGATGACATTGGGAGCCATATACAGCAGAAGGGACAAGGCAAGGAGAAGGGACTGCGGGAGGGTTGCTTTCCTCCAGGGCCAGGTGAGGGTCACAGGGAGTAAACCATTGTTGCAGTTGCTATGGTGACATCTGTATGATATACCTGAACACTGTATGAATGCTGTAAATTAAGATTTCATGTCTAATGAGAAGATCCTTAGGTCTTCTGTCATAACAGTCCCTGAGCTTGCTTCACCAGCACACATACTATAATTACAGCCCCTGATGTTGATATCACTGTCCCCATTTTACAGGTGGGGAAATTGAGGACTGTGTTGAGTATTTGCCTAAGACCTCTCAGACCATAAGCTACACAGAAGCCAAAGTAAACCCAGCCAGTCTCTGTCATTTCTCAGAGGTTAGTGGTGTCAAAACTAAAGGCTGGGAAGTAGACGAGGCTGAGTCTTATGCTTTCTTAAGAAGATCTGCTGCTGGCTCAGGTTACCATGTTCAGCTGCACAGGTTGGCCATGCTCAGGGATAGCTGGCCATGGCTGAGAAGAGCTGAATCCAGTCCACTTCTGCTAGCTAAGCCACACACTCAGCACTCACTCTGAGGGGCAGCTTCTCTCACTCAAAGGGGCATTGTGAGTGTGACCCTCAACTCCAGTGAGTCAGGTCTCACTGGAGGCATGGGCACTTTACAGAGGGGGGCACTGGCAGAAAAATGTAGGACAAGAGATGACTGGGCATTGTCAGTAAAGGTTTGTGGTGTGCTTAAGGGAGGTTTTATGCACAGAAAAACCTATTAGATTGAGCATGGGGGCACACACCTATAATCCCAGCACTCAGGAGGCTGAGGCAGGAGGATTGCCTAGTTCAGGGCCAACATAGGCTCTACAGTGAGCTCAAGGTCACCTTGTAGTACAAAATGAGACCTTGCCTCAAAAAAAAGCAACCAAATCAAAAATCTAGTAAAATGTAGTGATCTTTTTAAAGGAGAGTTTTACATCTTAATTCAATGCCTCTAAATCATTTCAATTAAATTATAAACAATTTAAAATCAATTGAGCACAAAAGTATGGTTGCTGTTAGAATATTGTGAAAGTTCCGTGACCATTGTTTTGTGAAATGTGCAACTGTCAAGTATTTTTCAACTTTAAGTTAATTAAAAGTCTAACTTAACAGAGTAATGGCTTGCCTGGAGCTGCCCAAAGAAGCCTGCCAGTCTGTCATTGGCTGGGCCAGAGCAAGACCAGGATCTTTTCCTCCCAGAAGAGCCCTGCCAGGTTGCATTCTCCTGATCTCACGCAGACTCCACGAATGCCAGCCATTTGTAGACTCTCATGCACATTTACTTTCTCTTACAAGCCAGTCGCCTGTGTTTTGGATGACACAAAGAAACAAAAGTCTAATTTTCCTTTGCCCAATATGAAATAAGAATTCTGACAGTTGGGGTGCTTATTCAAAAACCTAGCATTATTTATTTTAAATTGTCCAACAAGGTAACCCATTGCTGGAAAATACTATTCCCCCACCCCCAAATTTTACTTGTGATGAAATATAGAAAAAGAATCTCAGGTTTTCACCATATCTCAAATATCCCAGAAGGGAATTATTTGCTTATTTGTTTATTTAGAAGCAAGGTCTCACTTATGTTGCCCAGACTGGCCTCAAATTTGAGGGCTCAAGTGATCTTTCCACCTCAGCTTCCCAAGCAGCTAGGACACAGGTATGCGTACCATAGCTGGCCAGCTGAAGGATTTCACTGAATCTTTTGATATTCTAATTACATTTACAAACTTCTTTATAAAAAGAGAAAAACACATAAGAAAAAACTAAGTTCTAAATCTAATTTATTCCATTATACATTTTCTGATAGAATCACAGAGCTGATCTGTTATATATGCCAAATGACTTAAATATTACAGATACTTTCAAACTAAATCCAAGAAAATTTCTCCTAAAGTTAGTATCAGAAAGTTTATATTAGTATTAAGTTTATAAGTTTGATTAACATTTCTAATCTCAATTCTTAATTAATTTCAACCTTGATTCTCAATTTCCTATGATTAAAGATGCCTACTAAGGAAAAAAAGTTTACTAACCAAAGCTGCATGATGTTATTAATTCATGCAAATTTTGGTTTAGCTCTGATTGAGAATGTTCATTAAACAGCAGTTTGAAGCCAGGCATGGTGGTGCCTGCCTATAATACCAGTACAAGGGAGGCTGAGGCAGGAGGATAGCTATGAGTTCAAGGACAGACAGCCTTGAACAGCAAGACCCTGTCTCAAAAATAAATAGATAAACAAATAAAAGTTTTGGACATGGTATGAAAGCCATTACTGCAAACATCTAAGGGAATGCAAGGCTGGCCTGGATAATCAATGACCTGCCAAGGGGCAGCTTCCCCAGCCCAATCCTCTGTGATCAGATTCAGCATTGGTCACCTCCTTCTGTCCCCACAATTTCATCAATCCAGCAGGATGGCCTCACCCAGCTCGCCTCACAAGCTGAGAGGAAACATCTCACTGCTTTCCTACATGACTATATTCAACATTCAGTTCATACTGTTTGTCTCCGGCCAGCCAGCACTGACAGAAGACGTTTCAGTGCCCTCTTTGGATTCTGCTTGCTTCTCATGGTCTTGCCTGGGACTGGGCAGACAGGCCATGTCTGCTGCTGAGTGCCCAGGTGGCTCGAGAAGGAGGTACTTCAGATTGGGATGACAAGGTGCTTACAGATAGTCTAAATGTGTCACTTTACTTCTAAGTGAACAGAAAAATAGTTGCAATACTACCTAATCCTATCAGATACTGTGTACCTCTCTTTAATCACCATAAAAGTGTAAGAATAGTAAGAACTACCTCCTATTGAGCTCTGGCTGCGTCCCAGTGGCACAGGGGTGACTGCACAGGCCCCAGCCTCTCGCCCCTGTGAGTTCCCTCACTTTCCACCTCACATGCCTTCTGTGGACCTCAGTTTCTCATCTAACAAATGCAATACGACCCCTCCCGTGTGTCCCAGTGGGGCTGCAGTGGGCCTGAGATGAGCTAGGAAAAGAAGTGAGAGGAAGCAGAACATGCCTAGGTCTGCAAGGGTGGGTGGCCCGGGCTAAGCACTGCCTTTTTTTTTTTTTTTTTTTTTTTTTGTCTTTTTCCTTTTTATCAGTATTGGGGATCGAACTGACGACTGCCTGCTTACAAGGCAGGTGCTTATGCCACTGAGCTAAATCCCCAGCCCCCAGCACTGCCATTTTTAAGCAGCGACTTTGAGTCTAGACTGTGAGGAAGGGGTGTGCACCAACCCAGAGCATGCCACACTGGCTAGGTCTGGGCCTGTGGCAATGTTTGACCCTGGGCATCAGTGTGTGTCACAAGCCCTCCACATGGGGTAGGTAGCAGGTGTGGGGACTCTGGTGAGAGGTTTGGGTTCTCGGCTTCAGGAAAATAAGCCCAGAAGCCGTGAAACATGAGGGAAAAGGTCCCAGGACAGCAGAAGGAACAGAAGTGGGAATGGAGGGAAAGGACTGGAGCCTTGTCACTGCCTGAATGGGAAGTCCCAGCCAGTAGCCTACCCAGGTCGGGACCAGAGGGAGTGGTGTAGGCTTATGTGGACTGCACTATCCGTGGAGAACTTAAAAGCAGGAATAGAACTAGCTAAAAGGTGAACTGGTTTTTGTTATCACCATTCTAAGCATGTTAGTGATACAAAACTTGCAGGGGAGGAGCAAAGAAAGACTTCTACTGTCCCACTGTCCCTTTTCTTAATATGCCATGGAATCCTTGCCCTTCCCAGCAGTCAGGCCTTAGCAGTGGGTCAGGGGTGTGGGGAGGGAAAGGAACCTTGGAAGGCCCTGAAAATAAGGGCATCTTGACCTATGGGGTCATCTTGAATGGGTATTTGGGATGGGCTCCCAAGATGAGCCCAGCAATCCTGGAGGAAGAAGTAGGTACCTGGATGGGGTGTGGGGTGAATGGCTGCTGGACAACTCCGAGTCTAGCTGCAGTACTGCCATCACCACCCTGGGGCTCCCAATGCCACGTGCAGGTTATAATCAATTGGCAAACACATTGAATGACCCTGAGCCTCCCCTTCACCCTACCCCATGCTCTGTACTAACTTGGAAGTCAGATTCTCCTCCTGGCTCTCCAGCAAGAGCTACCCTGCCCAGGCTTCACTAGCCAAGCCTTACGAGGCAATCTGTGCTCTGCCCTATCTCTGGCCTGAATTCTGATCTCACAGTGATGACTTCTTTCTCCTTTGCAGGAGCCCAATCCAACCCACCGAGGATTCCTGTAAGAATAAAGGTCCTGTGGCCACAAAGCCAGACAAGGATAAAGGTCCTGAGGTCTCAGGGCTTCTGAAAAGTCAAAGTCCTGTGGTCCCAGAGGCTCCAAAGGATCAAGGCCCTGTGGTACTGGGACTTCCAAAGGATCAAGGCCCCATGGTCCCAGGGCCTCTGAAGGATCAAGGCCCCCCAAAGGATCAGGGCCCCATGGTCCCAGGGCCTCCAAAGGATCAAAGCCCTGTAGTCCCAGGGCCTCCAAAAGATCAAGGCCCCGTGGCCCCAAGCCCTCCTAAGGATCAAGGCCCTGTGGTCCCAGGGCCTCCAAAGGATCAAGGCCCCGTGGTCCCAGGGCCTCCAAAGGATCAAGGCCCTGTGGTCCCAGGGCCTCCAAAGGATCAAGGCCCCGTGGGCCTGCTACCAGTCAAGGAAAAAGATCACATGGTCCCTGAGACTTTAAAGAATGAAGTGTCTGTGATTTCAGCACCAGCCAAGGACCAAAGTCCCTTGGCCCCAGATCCTCTGAAGAACCAAGATCCTATAGTTCCAACAAGACTTATGGATCAAGGTCCTGTAGTCCCAGCACTTCCAAAGGATCAAGGCCCTGTGGTCCTAACACCTGTCAAGGATCAAGGTTCCATGGTCTCTGCTTCCGACAGAGATCAAAGTCTCCCGGTCTCAGAGCATTGGAAAGATCAAAGTGCCATGGTCACAGCACCTGTGAAGAATCAAGGTCCTGTGATCCCTGAGTCTATAAAGAACCAAGACCCAGCAGTAACCAAGAATCAAGGTCACATGGTCTCTGAGCCTCCAAAGAATCAAGGTCCAATAATCCCGGTGCCTCTGAAGGACCAAGATCCTCTGGTTTCAGCACCAGCAAAAGACCAAGGTCCTGTGATCCCTGAACCTTTGAAGACTCAAGTTTCCAGGGTCCCTAAACTGCCCACTGTCTCACCTCCGCCCCCAGTCATGATCCCAACAGTCCCTCATGGGGAATATATTGAGGGGTCTCCTTGACATGCACCCTATGATATGCCATTGAAGGAGCTGGCAGTGAAAGTACACCCCTCCCAGGGGGAGCGAAGACACATATTTAATCTGCATGAAACACGTGCTGTATAGTCTTGCTGGAGTCTAATAAAACTGGTCCCTCTGGCTCAGCTGTGTCTGTCTCTGGCTCTGTGGGGACAGGGGCACGTGAGTGTATGTGTGAGCAAGCCATGTACATCCACTGCCATGTATACTCAAAAGTGGGCACATCAGGCTCTGCAGTCACCTGCATGGGCCGGAGGAGTCTAAGCAAGGCCCAGCTCCTGTGACTTCTCGGTAGGAGACGGGAGTGGCCAGGTGATGCTAGGACCCATCATGAAAGTGAGCAGGACGAGGCAAAGGCAGAGGCCAGCAAAACCCAGCAAAGGTACCAAGTCCCAGCAGGCTGAGCCCTGCATGAGTCAGAGTTGAGGGCTGCAGACAAAAGGGAGCAGCGACCCAGGCAGCCCAAGGCAGTTCTGAGTGATAATTGTTTGCCAAAGTCTCAGTCTTACTGATCATCCAGACTCAAACTCCTTGAGAAGACTAGGCCTCTGATCATGAGCCTAGGGACATTAACAAAGGCAGAACCTAACACCTGATGATCCTCATGCAATATCCATGATCCAGGGTCCCTATGTATCAGGTACTTCTACAAACCAGCCTTGAGTAGGGCTCCATGGTATGTGCCTATAGTTGTAGCTACATGGGAGTCTGAGGCAGGAGGAGCACTTGAACCCAAGAGTTCAAGGCCAGCTTAGGAAACCCAGTAAGATTCCAGCTCAAGAAAATTCTGTTAATAAAATATGCCTGAATCACCACTCCCATTCATTCACACATGCAACAGACTTTTAATTAGCACCTATTTTGTATCAGAATTGAGGTCATTGTGGTAAAGAATTCCAGTCTTATGATAGTAAAATGTGGTGTGCCACGAAGTCTCAGGATAGTAAAGTCCTGGCTTTGAGAAGTCAGAGAAGTGAAAGCTTCCTAGGAAAGTGGCTTTCATTCTGACAGGGTTTTGGATAGCCCAGGCAGAGGTTAGAAAAAAGCAAATGGGTGTAACTGGAGGGCCAGGGTAAGCCCCACTCTAGAAGTCTTTGAATGGAAATAATCTGGTTTGCACAAGTATTTGACCAGGAGGTATGGTGGGTCTCTGGAGCAAAGAACAGGAACCAATCAGGGGCGATCAGTTTTTTGAACCCCATAAGGGAGTGAATGGGGATCAGTCCAGTGACCTGTGAGCATGGCACTGGCATGCTGAAGGAGGACCACAGCCAGGCCTGGGAGACTGGGGAGCTGCCAGCAGGTTTGAAGTTCAGCCTTGGTCTCGGATCCTCCCAGAATCGCACTGGTATGGGCCTCAAAATCATGTGCTGGCCTCCCTTTTAAAGCCCAGAGCCATCAGGGAGCTGGGAAAAGAGGAAGTGCTACTTATTGTCCCCACCAAACAGCCTACCCCTTTTGAAGGTTACCTGTACCCCCCGACTCAGGCCCCTCCCCATTACCCCCATACAGGAGCCCAGCTCAGTTCTTCCAGGCAGATCATCACAGGAAGTATTGATGTCCAGTTTCCTGGGCAGGCCTGCCCCACCTACCCAGCCCAGTCCAGTCCAGCCTCCTCACCCCATTTCCATAGCACTGGGCTCTCGGTCCCCAGAATCTACCTCTACACACACACACACACACACACACACACACACACACACACGTGCGCATTGTGAGGTCTCTATATGAGCACCCATAGTCAGGGACCTGAAGACAAGAAAAGCCAAGCTGAGACCATGCTGAGAAAGGTGCTATGTGTGGGCATTTCCATTCTTCTCTCAGTTCTTTTAATCCGAACACCGAGGGGCAGATGTGCAGGAGGCCACTCTGTGGACCTCTGAAGAGAGAGCCGGCTGGCAATCAGCTGCCTTGTGGTGTATCCCTGAAGCTCCACGGGGGAAGCTGTGCGTCCTCAGAACAGTGTCAGAATGGAAGGAGGAGTGGCCCAGTTCACAGCTCTGGAGACTGTAACAGACCAGTAAAGAAGCACCCAGAGGAGGGTGAGAAAGGCTGGAGAGAGGAACCAGAGTCCTTGGAGGCTGAGAACAATCCCAGAGGGAGACAGTCACGCACAGGTCAGGCTGGCAGAGCAAGTACAGGGAGCATCGAGGCCAGTGTTAGACCTGGTAGCTTCTATCAGGAGCCTGGCCCCACCCTGTCAATATCCTCATTTGTATACGGGTCTTGACATGAAAAGAGATCCGGAGCTGGAAGACCTCCAGCTTTAGGGGTGCACTGCAAGGCGCAGAGCTCTGAGCTACAGTCTATGTCCCCCATACTTTCCACGTACAGTATCTGGCCCCAGCAAGCCCCTCTTTCCACTGCAGGGAAGGCAGAAGATGGACTGTACTCTCCTGGCCCTTTTCAGGTACAGACTTCACTGATGGTCTGATTCTGCCCTGTCAGTGACTTCTCAGCCCTTGCGAGGCATACACCCTCTCCAGCTCTCCCCTTCCGGGTGTGTGGTGTGACTCTGGGAAGTGAGGCTGTGTGCTGCTGGCTCAGGAGACAGATTCTAATTGTGGAGACCGCAGGGCTGACAGCTGAATCAGGACTCTGGCACTGTCCTGGGGAAGGGTGGAGCCACCTAAAGCAGGCAGGTCCTGGAGCTCCTGCTCACTCCCTGGAGCAGGAGCGAGGCCCAGTGGCTGATCCTGGGGAAGGCAGAGATGCTGTTCTTTTCCTCACACAGCCCCTTTCCTTTACACCTGCTGTGTGCCTGGCACTGCCTTGAACCTGTGATGTACTGGAAGAGCAGGACACAGTGCCTGGAGATAGGGGTAGGGACAGGACCTTGGTCCTATTGGAGGACATCTTGGGATCTGTTACAGAGGAGATCTAGGATTAGAGGAAGGGAATGGGAATACACTGATGTTGACCTCACTCTCAGCAAGAAACCTAGAAATCCTTTGCATACCCACCTCCCACCTCCCATCCAATCCATCACCATGATCTACTCCACTGTTCCTGCTTAAAGAAATGAAAAATCTGCCTGATATTTCTCTACCTCTGTGGCCACCCCCTTTATCACAAACATGGCACAATCTGTTATTGTATATAAGAATCACAGCCTGGAGCTCAGGGTATATGAAATGTCCCCTGTCTTTATTTTGATAAGTCACATTAAGTACAATTGGAGCTCCTTTCCCTTACTGCCAGGGTTAGCAGGAAATCTGGTATCAGTCATGTCCCAGAACTTCATCTTGTCTTTGGGACTCCCACAATTCCAGAAGCTTAGGCTATCCTGAGAAGAGTGACAGAGGTAATCACAATGGTTACCCCCAGCCAAGCCAGGAGGGTCCTGGAAACACCCTTCCTTTATACCAGCTATTATGGTTGATACATTTTGTCAACTTGAGAAGTTTAGAAGTTTAACTAAGAGACTCAGCAGGAAACCAGGATCCTTACTTTGTAAATATTCTCATCCTGTTGAAAGAGGAGGGAACAGAGATTTTGTGAGTGCTACACTCATCCTGGAGGGGGTGCGGTATCCTGTGTACACTATAAGGGAGGATCAGAGGCTTGTTTCTCCCTTTTGCTCTGGCTGCTGCCTTGCAGTGTTGCCCCGATGCCATGCCACCCTGCCGTGGAGTCAGCTGATTATGGACTGAAACCTCCACAAACTGTGACCTAAATAATCCTTTCCTTTCTTCATTTTGGATGTTGGTTGTTTTGTCCCAGCAATGAGAGAAAAGTAACCAAGACACTAGCCTTGGCCAGGGAGCTCCTAGAGCTTCCAGGTTTTCCCAGGCAGTCCTGTAGCCAGCCACATCCAGACCCACACACCCCTCAGAGGCCCTGCAACCCTGCCATCTGTATATCCCTCAATTACCTCAGCCAGGCCACTGCTCCCCCAAAGCACCTACTTTTCAATCCCCTCTACATCACAGGCCAACCAGTTTAACAGCCTCCATGGCTTGGTGCTGATTCTCTATGGACCAGGACTGCACTATTTTACATTCCCACCAGCAGTGTGTGATTGTTCTGTTTTCTCCACATTCTCACCAATACTTGTTATTGTCTGTCTTTTTCAGGAATCCCTTTTGTTTTATACATACTGAGGATTACACCAAGGGCCTCACATATGTTAGATGAGCATTCTACCACTAAGCTTTTTATCCCCAGACCTTTTTATTTTATGAGACAGTATTTCATTAAATTGCCTGGGCTGTCCTCAAACTTGGGATCCTCTTAGGCCTCAGTCTCCCAAGTACTGGGATTATAGGTGTGTACCACCACATCCAGTTTAAAATAAGATTTTTTTCTTTTAAATGTTCACTGAACTAACAATAATGTCCACTAATGATCCAGCAATTCCCATTGCCTTCAGAGTGGAGCACACAGAGCCAACTGCAGGGGACAGAGGATAAATAAGGAGAGATACCAACTGTGCTCTCAGACCTGATGTATGATTCACTGATGTTTCACACCCAGGCATACCTGAGAAAATAACTTGTAATAGGCATCAATAACTTTCAAAGCCCTTGGTGTCTCCCACACAGAAACTCTTTCTAGCTAGGCCCAGCACTGAGCCAAGAGCTCTTCCTTGAAAGGGGGACGACTGCTTACCTAAAAGCACTATACTTTGCTCCTAAGCCCTACATAGCCCCTGGTGATTCTTTTATTGGGATTTCTGTGGATTCAAACATTGCCTCCGTTGGCTACAGATTCTTAGGTTATATCTGGGTCTCATGAGTCATCAGGGTTGTGTGACAGAGCTCCTTGGCCTTCCGCCTGGACCATCTGGAAGCCTTCACTTGCTCAGAGGCCACTCAAAGCTGCCAGTCAGTAATTACTCAGTAAAAGGATCAGAGCAGCACACCAACATGTGATACATGCTGTCCAAAATACACAAAAGCCCAAAGCTTGTGCTTTTTTCTTATGACCAGGTAGAGGCAAAAAGCACAGCCAGCCAGGATCTCCCATGGGATGATTCAGATCACAAAACACATGAGACTCCCTGTGAGTAGCTGGTTCTCAGGGTTTATTTCCCATCCTCAAATACATTTGTTTCTTCAATGCATATAAGGAACTTCCTACTTTCTCAGCCCTCAGACCATGATGGAATCAATGCACTGGACAA